ACTGCTGTATTTTTAATGTTGTGGGCCTATATTTCTGCTGGAGGTCCTGGACATCTTGTTTAGACACATGGCATCTTTGATTCTATCAAATACCAACAGATAAAAAATCAAAAAGTGACTGACTCTGTTAGAAATAATGGGCCATGTTTGGATCTTCCAACCATACAATAATCCAAACAAACCTCAAAAACAACACAAAAATGGGTAACGCTTTAGATTACAACCTGCAAAGAACTGCGTAAGTTACAGTGTAACTTTTTTGTAATTATAGTGTACCTATTCAGTACCTCCGTGTAGGTATAAGGGAATAATATGCAAAGTTTGGGGAATAAAGGGGTAACAACCTGTAAAATTACAAATCATTTATACTGTAAGTATTTTGAAACTATGTATGGCCTAAACAACAATCTTATGTTTGGGAATGATTTAGAAAGACGATATATACTTTTTATAATTTTATATTGGTATTTTATTATAGGCGTATAGGTATTTTTTAACCATGAGTACACATTCTATTATAAAAGGATGGACATGATGGAGATTACTGAACAACAAAACTGGACATCTAGTGAAATGAGTTAATGAGTTTCTGCTATGATTTATAATTCACAAGTCTACTTACCTTATGAAAGCTTATTCGTCGATTTCAGCAACTTCACACCAGCAACTTCTCAACACCACTATCACCAAATAACTTTGCATGATATACCATCAAGGTTCAATGCAGCTTAAAACAAGTTTACCTCTTTCCAGCTGTTCGCAGAAAAATACATGATACAACATTTGTATTTCAGCGGATGTATACTGTGGTTTTTTTATAGCAAAAAAAAAATGTAGAGGGTTTAATTTGGCCATTGAACAATTAAATTAAAGTCATACATACATTATATATCAGGTAATGTGTCAATAAACATGGTGGACTGTTTTATTTAATTCAAATATTGTTTGCAATTTACTATAGGCCTACTGCTGTGTTAAATGAACCCAAAATTAAAATTAAAATGACACACAATATGACAACAGTAACAACACAGGCAACATATAGCCTAATAAAAGATTCAAATGTATTACACCAGTTCAGAAAAAAAGCAAAGCAACTCCATACTTATACAGATTATACAGTTAAATCAAATTCTTTTGAAAAGCTTGTTTAAGGATAGATTTTGTTCAATTTGTTCATGTTTTTCACCCACTGACTTAATGACTAGTTGATTAACTAGTAATGACTAGTTAAACTATTATGGCCAAACCATCACGCCAATAAAAACTGTAATAAACACTGAAAGTCAAGATTAAACTGTGTATTATAGCGAACTGACATGATTTTACCGTCTTTGATTTAATGTTACCGTTTTGATCCACGTCCTCAAGCACCATTTTGACTAATGTTAACGTAGTTCAGTTCCTGGTTTTACCGCTCATCAGTCGCTGCTCAATGTTGTGAGAACATACTCAGACAAAACCCTCCAGTTTTAAAAGAACACATTCCAGTCAGTTTCAAAAATCTCTCTCCTCTTCGTGTCGATTAGTTTTCTTGTATTTTCTACACATATTCCTGTCATGAGTGTCGCAAACACAGATAGACTCGTCTCAAGCACCAATCCAGCTGTTTCCAGTTCGCGCTCACCACATTCACTGCTGCAGTTTTAAAGGAACACACTCCAGACAGTTTCAAAGTTGTCCCTCATCTGCGCTTCGTTTAGTTTTCTCCTATTTTCCACACGTTCCCATCTTAAGCACCGCAGTCACGGATTTTGTCGCACACACAGAACCGTTCACGTTTGAACTCACGTGACTTGCTGCATGCTCTAATTCAGGTCCTCCACATTCATAACCCAGCAACATCGGGTTATTACTGATATCAACCCAAATTGGGTCACATCAAGCCAGCTTCCTAACCCACAGTCTCAACCGAGCGTTTGGATTGAAACAATTACCAACGTGTTTTTATGTGTAGGCTATAAAAAAGTACACAGTGTATGTTTTTGCTTAATCGCTTGCAAATATAAGAGGTCATACATACCCTGTAATATTAGAATAGGTACCCCTTAGTTTCAAAATACTTACAGTAGAAATAATTTGTAATTTTACAGATTATTACTCCTTTATTCTCCAAACTTCGCATATTGTTACCTTATACCTACACGGAGGTACTGAATAGGTACACTGTAATTACAAAAAAGTTACGCTGTAAATTCTGTTTACTTACGCAGTACATTGCGGGTTGTAATCTAAAGCGTTACCCAAAAATGGTTCACTGAGCACAAAAGCAAGCTTCTGCTCTGGCCATTCCAGTCCTCTGAGCTGAAGGAGAAAACTCAGAGCTGTTATTATGCCAAATGGAGGTTTCAAAAAGCGTTGAACAAAAGGGTGCCGTTAATTGTGTCCAATGTGTATTAGAGAAAAACATTTATTTCATAATGATATTTTCCCCCATTTTAAATTCTTATTGTCCAATGAAAGGTTAGATTTATGTGATTTTTTAAAATAAAAGATCAAAATGATTAACAATGCAGATTTATGTGAATTTAGTGAAAGTGAAAGTGACTTGACGTTTGGCATTTGTGCTCTGCATTTCACCCATCCAAGTGCACACACACACACACACACATGTATGCATACTAAATCATTGAACTTTAATGCTGTGTAATTATACTACCAGGGTTTTGGAAAACCATGTATGTATGTTTAATTTTGAACAAATGGACTAGGGTATATTCTTTCAATCGATAATGAATACTACTGCTACTTCTACAAATAATAAAAATGATAATAATTAGGGATGAACACAACTGAAAAAAGTAA